ATAAAAAAATACCAGTATTGAGGGGCAAGGTGAGGTCAAGACAGTCCTGTCTCTGTATTCCCACCTCAAGTCATCCCTACCTCCCTTTCCTCAAATAACCCAGCTTCTGCCAGCACTCTTCTCTTTTCCCCCCGTATCTTACTCTTCGTAGTAGATGAATGCTAAGTCATCCTTTCTAAGGTTTTAACTACTTGGTGGCATCTACAAGGTGTACTCACAAAGGACACTCTTGGGGGAGAAAAGGCAGTGACCCTTACATAGAGGCTGTCATTCCCTCCCGCCCAAGGAAAAGTCAATCATGGTTTGGAAACCACTTCTGAAACTTTGCCAGTCATTGATAGAGTCCTTGTTATATTTCCCACTCTTCAGAGTTCTTCTGCATGTGTGATCCCTTTTGCATTCCCAAACAACCTGGAAAGCAATAAAGTATTGTTATCACTGGTTTACCCAGAGCAGTGCTAAGTCACAGAGAGGTTGTGTGAGTCTCCCAAGGTCACACAGCTAGTTAGTGTCAGCCTGAGTAGCAGCGGCAATCCTAGCTCAGCAGGCTGTCAAAATGAATCATTTGTCCCACAGCAGAGACAGCGCTCCAGTTCCATTTCTGGAAACTGACGGCTGGGTAGCACTTTTTGTGAATGTCTTCCATTCTCCAATTACCTATCTAGCTCAGTCCAAATGAGTTTTAAAACATAAAACCTCACTTTTTCAGCTGACCATCTCTAATATTTAGTAATATAATGAGGGTGCTTATGTTTTGTCATATATTGTTTCTGCTAGAACTGTTTAAGTGACATTTTGGCCTTAGAATTATTCTAACTTCATACTAAGAATACATTTTAAAAATCAGAAAAGTAGGAATAGAAAGTATAAAAGGATCTAAACAGTGCACCAAAGCCACCCAGTTAGGAAATAAAGACTTTTTTAATGTATTCTATTCTCTGTGCTCTAGGTTTAAACCATTTTGCTCTTAAACCACAGTTTCCCCAAAGTGAGAATAGTCGTGCTTGCTGAAAACCATGACTTTTAGATAAAGAAAGTGACGAACACTGTGTATTAGCAGTGAAATTTTCCATGAAGCACTTTCCATGGAAGAAAGGTCATTCAGCCCATCATACTGATGAATTCCACTATTGCTCCCTCGTGGAATAAAAACCTGGGGGACACCACTCATCATTTCATCATGAAATGCATAAAAAGTGTTCTTTGAATGAACCATTTCAGGCTAAAGGTGGGTAAGTTTTCAAATCATATTTCTTACCCTAAGCATTCGTCAGTGTTGCTTCTCACATAGCCTTTCCAGCTTGGACTCTACTACTGAGACCAGGCAACCCAGGCTATGCCCACTATTGTCCAAGACAATCCATAGCTGCCCAGTGCCTCTGCAGTAAAGTTCATATCCCTCAGTGCATGACAGGACTCTTCATAACACACTGCGAAATATCTTTCCAGCCTGTGTCTGACGCTACCCTGTATGTTTATACCACCTCAAGTGTTCCTGTTCCTCACGAGTTTTCTTTTTTTTTTTTTTAATTGAGTTTATTGGTACATTTTAGGGATACAGTACAGTTACATTCATTGTTGGGATCTTGTACCTCTACATGACAGGTCTTGGTTCTCATTTTTTCCCCTTGTCCCTGCCCTCCCTTCACCCCCTCCTCCCCTCCCCATTTACAAACACTTTATTTTCATCTTTTCATTATCTCACATTTTTTCTTTTACCTTATTACCCTTTCCCTACTCATCCCACCTTCCCTACACCTTTAGCCCTTTTCTTCCCATTTTACAATGTCAGTTATCTCATTAGGATCTTATGTACTATTACGGTTTATTCACACCAGAGGAACTATTCGGTATTTACACGTGTGACTTATTTATTTCACTTAGGAGTATACCTCAATATGCATCCATTTTCCTATGAATGAATCTAATTCCTCATTCTTTATGGCTAATATTCTATTTTATAGAAAAACCACATCCTCACGAGCTGTCTAATTCCTGCTGCCATATTTGCTCAAGTCACTTCTTCCACCTGAAATGCTCTGCCCCTTCTCCACCTATCCAACTCGCATTTAGTGTCAAAGACAGCTCAAAAGCTCAGTTGGGCTCAAATGTAGATATACGTGTCTATAAAGAGATAGAAATATGCCTGCCTTCTTGCTCCTTTTAAATTAGAAATAATATTCCTACTTTAGCAAATTGTTTGTGGTAGATGTTCAATAAATTTGTTGGTGAATAAGCAGATAAATCTTATGAGTCTACAGGAGGCAGAAGGTACATTAGGGTCCTTGAGAGGTCCACCCAAAGTCAGTCACTAGAACGTTAGCAAAAGCACTAATCTTTTTGCAGTTTGTTCACTAAATATGTCCACTTTTCTCTATTCTGTGACTCAGTGGTTTATTCCTGTCACTATATTGAATGTATGCATCCACTACACCTGTGCATAGTTTGCAAGGTTTTCCCTCTTGAATCACAAGGGTTTTGTTGTTGTTGTGTTATTGTCATCGTTTGCTACAAAGTTTTGAAGTAAAAACACAAACTTTTTTTTTCTTAGAAGACTGTATCATTCTTATGAGGTTGTGTGCTTTAGAAGTAGTTAAGGAATTCAAATAAATAGTCAAGATCCCAAATGGAGGACAGATGTCAGTCCTATGAAAAGAAATCGCCAACTCGAACTCAAGTCCCAGAGCACATCCAGTGCGGCGATCTTAGTGACCAACTATGCTTGTGTCCACCCCAGCTAAACAGATTCCTGTGAAGTGTGACTGGAGATCTGACCTAATGAAATACAACCAGCAGGGTCACCCAGGCCACTGAAGCATGAGTCTGCATTTCCAAGTCCGTGTAACAGAAGCCGCACCTTGCACAGCAGGGGTAGGTCAGGAGGCTGTCTGGTAGCCAAGGGCACAGCTGGGGCTTCAGAATAACAGCACGAGGGTGTAATGGAACCCCTTCCTGGGACATTTAGCCAGTTAATCACCTTCGGTCATCCATCTCTTATTCATAAAGATGAGGAACACAATTTCTTTGGCTGCTCCCTTTGCCCTTTCAGGTTACACCTGCAATGCACTGTACCAACTCTTCCCTTATGGCACATAAAATGCACTTGGCATGATGTGTCTTGTCACCATGTATGTTGATACCAATGCCGGACTGGGTTAGGGTGATTTCTGTTGCTCCCACAGCCAGCATGAGCATTCGTCATTTAAGGGCAAGGCTTTCAGGAGTTCTCCAGATTCAGTTAAGACTAAGTTCTCAGAAATGTGAGACAACCATGTAATCTGAGGCAAGAGCAGACCTTACTACCAACCAGTCTTACGGCTATCTGAGCTACTTATTTTATTTCATCCTTAAAGGAGATTAAAAATAATAGTATTATTTGTTTTAGTTTTTAGATATTAAAATTAATAGGAAATTTTTAGCCATAGCAGTCCATCAGACTTACTCACAAGGGACCCAAGCACGATGTGGTTCTCTTTCTTTAACTCACTGAACAGACAGAAATGCCAAGCATTCACCAGAAATCACCTCTGACAAAAGACTCATTAGTCTGCCCTGGGCTTTGGCTCATCTCTTGACACCTGTGTGGCAGGCTTTTATCACACGAGTAAAGACCAAATGCTCTGGGATCAAGTCTTGGAGTTTGGCCCTCACTGGCTACTTAGGCCTAAAGAGTATCTCTGGGCCTCAGTTTCCTTCTCTGTAAATTATCAATGATAATAAAAATACCAACTCACAAATTATTGTGAGAATTAAATGAATGTTAGCTGTTATTTGCACTCTTTTAAATTTAACTATGATCCATTGTTTTGTTTGGGGAGGGATGAGAATTATGGAGACTGAGGAAACAGGATCTCATTTTATCTGTAATAAGGTAGAAAGATCATATGGTTTACACAGTGTGCATGTTTTAATGTCAAGTCTCTAGATCAGTGATTCTCAGAAACCCATTTAGAGAATCCTTAAGGTCAAAACTATTTCCATATTAACACTAAGCTGTGTTTGCCTCTTCTCATTCTTTAGCCACCGCTTCACTTTCCAAAGTTTTAGTTATAAACAATCAACCATACTCCCAATCTATTTTTCCTTTATAATCCAAAAATATTAAATAAAAGTTTCCAGACATGAGCAATTCTTTGCAATTAAATTGCATTCCATTCTGAACAGTGGATGATATCTCAAACTATCATGCTCCATCTTATCTAGAACATGAAGCCTCCCTCTGTCTAGTGTATCCACGCTGTCTGCCCTCCAGGCACTTAGTAATAACTCAGTTATCAGACTGACTGTCACAGTGTCACAGTACTTGTTTTCCAGTGACCTTTACTCTATTTAATAATGGCCCCAGAGCACAAGAGTAGAAATGGCAACAATTCACATATGTCAAAGGGAAGCTATAAAGTGCTTCCTATGCTGAAATTGTGAAGATCCACAATAAGAATGACTCTTCTACCCGTGAAATTGTAGAAAAGGAAAGGAAATTCATGCTAGTGTTGCTGTCACAACTCAAACTGCAAAAGTTACAGTCAGTGTGTGACAAACAGTTAAGATAGAAAAGCCCTTATGGTTTCACACCATCTGTGGTTTTAGACATCTACTGAGTGTCCTGGAATGTCTGTCCCACAGATAAGGGTTGACTAATGTACAATAGAATGTTCCAAAAGCTACCAGATATGTAATGACATCATCATTAACCATTAATGTGCATATATATTCTTGTGTTTTAAAATTCCTGTTATACTTACAACTGTAGAAAACAACAATAGACAATACTCAAATAAATAAATGTCTTTGAGGTACACAATAATTTTTAAGAGTTTAAAATGATCCTAAGACCAAAAAGCTTGAAAATCCCTACTAAACTATCTCAGGTTAAATCCCCCTATCCCCCTTTCAAAATCTGTAAAGCAAAAATACCAAACTCATCTCTTAATTTTGAGAGTCTGATCCGAGTCAGGCCCCTGAGGCTACCCTTCCTGTCTTTTTGTCATTGTGTGTTTCAGGATGTCTGAGTCTGACTTCCCCAGTGAGGAGTGGATGTGGGACTTCCAGAAGCACGGCCACCGGCACTCTATGATAAGAAAAGTCAAGAGGTTCTTGAGTACCCATGAGCACCCCACCAGCCCTAGAAGAAGCTTCAGAAGGCAGGCCAGCGACAGCTCCACACTCTTCCCCATCAGCCCAACTCATGATCTGCTGCACGTGCCCTCCAGAAGCCCCCAGAGAGCCTCACAAATGCGGCAGCAATCCCACTCCCTGGAGGGCAGCCCCAAGCTGCATTCCAGCATGGGAGAACTGTCCACAATCAGGGAGGCCAGCAGGACAAGCACCCTTCAGAGCCTGACCCCACAGTCCAGTGTGAGGGCCTCCCCCACCAAAATGCCACAGGTGCCCCAGGTATTGATCACAGCAGCCGAAGTGCCAGTGCTCTCATCAGATGGCGATCACCGTGATTCTACTACCTCCATCACTAGTTTTGAGTTTACCGGAGTTCAGCCAAGCAGGACAGAGCAGCAGGAAGACCTGGTAGGATCACTCCTTTCCCACTCAGAGGAGGGGCCGCCTCCTTGGAGCCCTACCCTCCAGACTGCTTCAGCCAGTACTGAGACAAATAAGTTCAAGTTTGAGGGAGACCCAGACAATGACAAGTTCCTGAAAAGGTGGAGCCTCCCAGAGTTTCAGGGGTCCAGCCACACCTCTCTGGGAAATCTAAGTCCACATCCCATGAGCTCTGGGAGGCCTCTCTTACTTGAAACATGGACATCCTCAGAGCACAGTGCAATTAGCAATGGGGCTGGCTCTCGGGTCTCTCCTGAGATGTTGTACTTAATGGAAAACCTAGACACCAAGGAGACAGATATCACAGACTTTAACAACGAGCAAATGGAAGAATCCCCCAAAGGAATGCCACAAAGCTCTAGGACCTGATTCTAGCCCAGACTCCACTTTGCCAAAGGCTCAGCACTAATCCCAGAACACCCCTGGGGGCTGGTTAGCTTTCTGGGAAAAAAGGATCCCACTGTATAAGCTACTTAGAAATTCGAAGGGCATTATGATCTTAACTTTTTGAAAATTTGGAAAATCAGACACATTCACATCCATAATAATGTGGCTTTCATGGAAGTTATACAGACCATAGTTAATTATCTTAACTAGATAAGAAATCTTATATAAATAAGTCTGACTGTAAATTCATACATTATGAGGTACGGAACGGGCCTTAGAAATCATAATCTAATCCTCTAGACACAAAAGCCCAAACACAAGAATTCTCTATTTCTTTCCTTTTTCCTTTCTTCTTCTTCTTTTTTTGGGGGGTTTTGTTTGTTTTTGTTTTTGTTTTTGTTTTGAGACAGGGTCTCACTATGTAGTTGAGACTGACCTGGAACACATTATGTAGCCCAGGGTGATTTTGAACTCACAGCATCCTCCTGCCTCAGATCCTCCTGCCTCAGTCTCCCGAGTGCTGGGATTACAGGCGTGCACCACCACGCCCGGCTCTTTCATCTTTAACTATAAAGACAGGAGATGGATAACAAAATGCCCCAAAGACCCTTTTCTACTTAGAATTCTCTGAGACTTTCTGACCATCTCACAGTCTTTCTGTAACTATTATTATCATCATTTCCTAACTCTTATGCTTCATCAGCATCAGAAAGCTCCATTTCTTTTCAATTTCCCTTTCAGTTTCAAGTCTTCATTTTTCTCTCTTCCATTTCATACACTCATGTTTCCCTCTTTTCTCACCAGTCTTGCTCCTCTAGTTACTACAATCTGTCTCACCATCTAGGTTATGTGTTCTCTTGCCAACTCAGTTGCTTGCTTCTTACCATGTTGTTCCAAAAGCGAGGCACTGGCAAGGCCTCCTATGGGATAACCAAAAAAGTCAATAAATACAACCTCACACACATGCAGCTTCACATGGGGCCAGTTCACTGATATCCACCACTCTCTAAAAACCATTGCTGCTGCACTCTGATTCTGTTCTTGCTCTTGGACACTGGAGAAAACTGAGGCTAAGAGGATATGAAGCTTGCCTAATGGAATACTATGAAATCAAAGAATATCTTGGTTCAAATCTGCTTGTTTTCAACTCTTAAACAGAATTCTCAGTTGTGTCAGCAACATGGGACCAGCTACTGTGCCTGTCAGGTTGTTTGGCATGAAATAGGTTATTGGAGATGTGGTCCAAGCCTGCATAATGGGGATTGGGTTTTGACTAACTCCCTCCAAGAGCTCTTAGGGTGGCTGTTTGTTGTGAGCTCCTAAATCTGTAAGGCCTTTCTTTATGAGTGTGGTCTCACCATTTGCCATCTAATGAAACTTGGCTATGTATAACTTTGAAAATAAAGTAATGGGCCAGGGATTTAGCTCAGCGGTTTGGTGGCCTGCCTTGCAAGTGCAAGGACCCGAGTTCAATCCCTGGTACCAATAAAAATTAAAATTAAAAATAAAATAAAGTAATCCCCGTAGCTATCTTTTATTGAGTGTTCAGAGTGTTCCAGGCAGCAGCATGTAAAATTCACAGGTGATTTCACTGATCCTAAAGGAATTTTATGACAGTCATATACTAATATTGCCCTCCCTCCTTTTTATTTTAGACAAGATCTCACTTTAGGCTGGCTTCTAAATCACTATGTAGCCAGCCTTTAACTCATGATCATCCTGCCTCAGCCTCCCAAGTACTGGAATTACAAATAGGCACCACCATGCCCAGCTTCCTTTTATTTCTATTTTTAAAATGAAGAAAACAGAAATATTGAAGAAGGGTTTTATCTAAAACCACATGACCAGTCTCATCTAGCTCAAGAACCCACACTTAACCACTGATCTTTCTTACTGCTCTGGACTATCCGTAAGGCTCTGAATCTGCTAGTAATTGGCCCAGATTACTCCAAGGAAACTGCACCCAAATCACAAGTTCATGATCCAGCTTTGGAGGCCTCTGTGGGCCCTGCCTGCTTAAGTCTACATCTTCCATTCATTTACAGAGGAGAGTGTGCTTCAAGTCTGAGCTGTAGCTGTACCTTCTTCATTTTTCACAACAGCAGCAAATTGGCAGGATCCTCCTGTCCCTTACCTGACCCCTCTTGAGGTACTGTGTCATAATTAACCCATCTTCATAAGACCTTGAATCTCAACAGACCTCCCAACCTATGTGACAGCAATGACACTTACTTTTACTAGCTTTCTCAAAGGACTTAAAGCAAATATTATTAGAAATTCTATCCATAGATGGTTCTCTCTGTTGGTCAACAGAATTAGCTCCTAGGAAGGCACTGATGTTCCCAAAGCATTACACACGATAGGATAAGGCCCCAACAGAATACTTTTAAAAGGCCAGAACCCCGGCCTTCTTCCAGTCACCAGCCTCTGTGCAATTTTCTTGTGTTTTGACTTAAATCCCCCCAATCTCTTTTCTTCGATTCTTTTGCTCACATTCAAGTAAGTTCCTACTTTGCTACTTTTAAAATATAATGAATTTTCATTTCTAAATCTAATGTCATAAATTACCTGGGAATAGAATAATACATTTTATGTAAGGATAGGTAAGTATTCATTTATTTCTGCTTGCATCCATCCGTTTTATACACCTTTATCCAGAAAATTAATTTCCTCAATATTTCTTCAAAATTTGGAATGGCCTCCCATTTTCTCTTTGCATAGAAAACTGAATTGTGATTTGTTCTATACATCTGTCTGGTGGAAATTAGCTATAAATTCAAGGCACTAATTGCTCAGAGCCAATGAAGAAATTCTCTACTCATTCTAAAGTGAGGTTTTACCCAGCACAGACCAAAGTCGCAAAAACAAAAGAATTTCTTCCCATTTGCCTGATTTTTATAACATGTCCAGCCTATGTTTTCCTGAGCTCTGGAACTTTCTACTACATCAATGATGGTCCCACGGCCTGGCCTCTTGGTCGTTTGGTCTCGACCATTCCAACAGTCGCAGCTTTGCTCTGCATTAAGTGTAGTCTGCAAGCCAGCGTGTGGGGTGAGGCCTTGTTTGTTGCATTCTCTCCCTGTTCTCCTGAGGAGATAATTGCCTGACCCTGCAGTCGGAGTTAGGTAACATAAACACCCACTAACTTCTTTGTTTCCCAAGAATGTAGCGATGACTGCCTCCCAGCAAAACAAAGATGGCTGCTCTCCCCTTCTTTTATTATCCTGTCTACTTGGCTCATCACTTCCACCACTCCAGGCCTGGTTTCAGCCTTGTTCACGAAGCTGCAGAAAACATATTTTAAATGGAACAGAGTGTGAAATTTTGCATTAGTGGAAATAAAATATTTAGGGCCTGGGAGTGTAGCTCAGTGGTAGAATGTATGTCTAAATATGAAGTCTTGGTTTCCATATCCAGCAAAGCCAAAAAAGAAAGGAAAAAAGACTCACACACACCTGTTTTCCTCGCTGGCTTTCTTCTCCCAAGAATCTGATTCAATCTTTAATAATTTCTCAGAAACCTGATTATCATGAGATCTGCTGTCTGAGAGTCTGGTGAGCCCACGCAGCCAGTTATGGAATGAGTACTACAAAAAAAACAAAACAAAAAACATGTGAATTCTCACAGGAATCGCTTTAGAAGCTTGAACAAGTAACTGTCGTTTGGCCTTCATGTTTCCATCTGTAAAACGCGCCCTTCCCGTTTCACCTAGGCCATGTGAAAAGGCCGGGGCCTAGGCCTCACCATGCATACAACAGGCCTGACTGAGACAGATGCTCCTGTGGATTCACCATGAACTTCTCTTTCTCCACTTTGTTAGTTTACTCATCAGGATCCCCTTATTCTCTGGGATTCTACCTGCTTTCATCCACAAAGCTTTCCTTCTAACATTCTTAGCATTAAGATTCCACCTTATTAATTTTGTCTTTCTCTTTGGGTTTCTTTCTTCCCAACTTCCACATCTTTCTTCTCTCTGGTATTTTTCATCATTCCTCACTCCCCACAATATCCCAGGACTCACCACCATGGCCATGGATGAATTAATTAATCCCCTAACCCATTGTCTTTATCAACCCTCTCAATTAAAATGTGGAACCAGAGAAAATTACTTGTGTGTGTTCTATCCATTATAAATCTAGAAGATATAGAACACTTGATTCAAGGTTAGATGACCCCAGGACATTTAATTTCCCTAAACCTAAGCTAATAAGGAATAATACAAATGTAAAACTTCTAAACTGGAGCAAATCAGAACTGCCCTTGCCTCGTCACAATCACACATGATCAACAACAGACATTTTCTGATCTGTGCTACTGAAAAAAAAATCAAAGACTTCCTCACTTTGTCTTATTGAAATATAGAAGGCAGATCTTCAATCCTTTTGCACATTTTTGTTTTTCTTAGTTCTTTGAGCTCTAAATTTTATGACACTCTTTTCTACTGATATGGCCATTGAATTAAAAGATGGAATTCAAGAGTACAGGATTGTTCTCTGACTGTAAATCCTATAAGACCCAGAAGAAGGATTCCAACTCAATAGGCACAGCTAGGAAGACACCAACCCAGCATTCACTTAGCTCTAAACTCCCCTTAAGCACATCTGTGTGTCCAGTCAGATCCTCCCTGGCCACGCCAAAAAGAAAACAAAGAAATTTCTTTTCAAGATAAAGACCTGAATACCAATATTTTCCTAAATACTCCATTAATTTAGAGTGGAGATTAAGTGTTTGCCTTGATTCATTTCTGAATTAATTCAGAAAATAAGCCCAAATTTTCATTTTACCACAGTAGATTTGACCACCTGGTTTACCTAAAACCCTCTTAGTCTGAGCCCTAGTTTTAGACATTTGCCTAACAGAGACAGCAAAGATAATTTTGTGTCTTTTATCTTGAAAACAAATAGCAACATTTCTAAACAGATTTTGTACAAAGATGCTGGTATTTCCCAAGTTCTTTGTCTGGGCCAGTGGACCTCAACAAGACATGATTTTGCATGCTGGACCCATTTGGTAATGTCTGGAAACATTTTTGGTTGTCACACAGGAGTGTGAATGGTATCTGGTAGGCAGAGGCAGAGAACACTGCTGCACATTCTGCAACACTACAATTATCTGGCCCAAAATGCCAAGACTAAGACATCTACTTTAGGTTAAAGGAAGTTAAAAATGAAATAACCATCAAGGAGATTAATGATGAGAGATAAGCTAGAGAAAGTTACAGAACTTGAGAGGATAGACGAAATGAACACAGCAACTGGCTAAATCCCTGTTCTGTGCACAGCTGAGAAGTAATCACCATTACTCTTGT